TTCTCTGTAAACAATGAAATAAAAAGAAGTTTAAAAGGTTTAAGACCTTGAATGAAAAATAAAGTATTTGTGCGCTTTAACTACAATCAAAGTGCCGCCTCTTGAGACTAAATATCAGGGTGTAATATCTGCTCTCTCTGTTACAAACAACAGTTAAATAAACACACACAACATATATATATATATATATATATATATATATATATATATATATATATATATATATATATATATATATATATCGGGTAAGAGCAAAATTGTTCAAATCATGTAATAGCATAATTATCAATACCACAAAATGTTTACTATCCAAAAAACAGTAAGCAATTTTTTATCTTTTCCAGGTTTTCAGATAAGTTGTTTAGCCATCTTGATGCCATTTTTTGTAAGAATCACTGAAAATCCCTTTGAGTTATTCAGCTAGAAAGCAGGTAAAAAATTTTGTGTCAGCCCCACTGTCTTCCCAACTGAGCAAGTGTCAGAGGAAAAATATCATTCAAACCTTCAGTAATGGTGCCTACATTCATACTCTGGCTTCCATCTTCAAAGTCCAGTCAAGAACGATCAAGAGGACGATGAATAAGTTTAGAAAGAAAGGAATAGTAGAGAGCAAACCTGGATCAGAACGCCAAAACAGCAAGAGGCGTCGTCATTTCAACATAGAGCTAAAGAGATCAATTAGAAAAGATCCAACTAAATCCATAAGCTGTTTGGCACATGAAAGTAGAGTTTCAGCTATTACAGTCGAAAGAGCAGTGAAAAAAAACTTAAAAATGAAATCGTACGTGAAAGGACAAAAAGTTAGAAGGACAGAAATCTAGAAGTTTAAAGAGGGCGAAGATCACCTTCAATAAGCTGGAAAATGCTCCTGGAGTAATATATATAGATATGAACTTTATTTCAATATTTAATGAGCTTTCGATCCTTAGTTATGGTCAATTAATGAAGAGCATGTTATTTTCGTTTATGATCGATTTCATCACGATTTTTCTATTTAGCTTGGAAAGTAATCATACATACTTATTGCTGAAAGTAGAGTCGAATAGTGTTATAAAATCCTCGCCGAATTTCAGTAAGATATCTTTAATCGTTTCTAAGATATAGAAGCTTAATCTAACAATGGGACAATTTTGCTGTTACACCTGCTATATATAAATACATATAAGTCAAGAGCAGTGGTAAAAGGATTGGTAAAGAATTTAAAGAACACGGTTAGAGATGGCGACAGGAAATGGTTAACTGTGAACTTTTAAAGAATGTTAAACTTTAGGATGAACCAAAAATACAAATTACACATTTGAGATACCAAAGTTAAATAAGTACAAAAATTTAAATATCTGGGGAGTGTTTGAACAGACGACAGAAACTGCGACACTGAAAGCTGAAGGCGAATTTGGATAGCCGTAGATGTCTTCCAAAGCTAAAAAATGTATTACCAAATCACCTTTATTAGAAACAATGAAAAAAGTACTGAGCTGTTTTGTAAGATGTTTCTTCCTATAAGGTAGTGAATGCTGGACAATCTCTTCACGGAGGAAGAAGAGACTTGAAGCAACAGAAATAAGCTTCTATAGAAGGAGGCTGAGGATACCATTAACCGAATATGTGAACAGCGGCGAAGATTTAGAGAAAAGAGAAAAAAAAGGAAACTTATACCTGACATCAGGAAGAGACAGTTGAAATTTCTAGAACATATGAGGAAAGGGGGCTTGGAAAATCTGATACTCACATGGCAGATTGAAGGCAAGAGGAACAGAGGAAAACAATACATAGCATTCTTAGTGAGCTTGAGTAAATGGAAGATGAAGCAAGTTGTAAAAGATATGATACAAAGACAAAATTTATTAAAGGCTACAAATAACAGGATATAGTGACGAGCTATGATCGTCTACGTCCTGGGGAGACACAGCACATGATGAGGAAGATTTATTCAATATTTTTGAATTTTCTTCGATATGTCCTGTGACTGTCAAATATTCCAAACCAACCAACCAACCAAACTTCCTACATAACATGTTACTCTCCTATATATATATACCTACATATATATCTTCCTTTCGACAATAGGTCAGTGCTCATAAATATAAAAAATTAACAATAGCAAATAAACTTCTCAGCGTCAGGACTAAAAAAGAACAAAGTTCTGACCACAAATAAATCTTCATTCTACTGGGATCGTCAGAAGACCACTATATACTGATGATCGCGCTAACTTAAGTAGCGACCTGATCATTTTTTCTCTCTCAATCTCTTTCCCACTTTATATATATATATATATATATATATATATATATATATATATATATATATATCTTTCTCTGTCTCTTATTATCCAGTAGATGTGGTAAAATGAAACAAACATAGAATCTTTGTTTTGTTATAAACTAGCAGTAGAGCCCGGCGTTGCCCGGGGATGTAACAGTAAGAGTTGGGGGCGGCTGTTGCTTTGAAAGATGGGCTTTGTAAGTCAACAGGAACTAAGTTTCTACAAAACGTTGAAACGCAATGCACACAAAGTTTAAGCAGACATCATGCAGGCCCAAGTATTCGAAGGTATCGAAGGAAGTAACGGAAATCCGCTGTAGCATCAGTCATTTGCCATTACCAAGGCATCTGTGAGTAAAAGCTGGCAGCAGTTACTGCTTTAACCAATTGGACCGTTAAGCATTGCTAGAAGCACTTGTGGTAAGTAGTCAAGAAACGACGCTCCAGTTACAACATACATAGGGATTAAAGGGAAAACGTGACGTGAGGATGCCATAGACATAAAGTATGTGCCGTGTGCAATCACAAACAAACCGCTTGTCTAACTAAAAGACGCGTCTTTTGCCCAAAAGTCGGAGCTGCCATGACCATAGAACAGAACCGTAAAACCGATAGAAGAGCGGACAGTGACGGCGTGGCATGGTAAGAAAATTTTTGTGATATAATTTCCTTTATTCTGATCTGTCACTATCTACATCGCGGCTGAGAGCCCTTAAAACCGCAACGGGGGTAGCCGTAAGGCCGAGCATCGTAATTGCAATGGAGAAGTGCCTTCTCTTCAGTCGCAGTCAACATTACGGCTGAGAGCTCATGAAACTGGACTGGGGTCGCCATACGTCCAAGCGCCTCAATTGCAATGGAGAAGTGCCTTCTCTTCAGTCGCAGTCAACATCACGACTGAGAGCTTAAAAAACCGATCGGGGTCGCCGTACTTGGCGTGTGTTTTTAGTTTCTTTTACACGACTACAAACAAAACAATAGAGCCGTATGGTTGACATGTTTCAGCCGTAAAGTGTATATGGAAGCAGAAGCCTGAATTTCATAGACGCACTCGACTTTTGTGACAATTAAACGAACTCCGAAGCTTCTCAAGTGTGAATGTGCTTGTATGCACTGCTACGAACAGCAGGTGCTCCGATCAACTGTTAATGAAACCGGAACTTTAGTGGAGCATTCATGTCTAATGCCGGTGTTCATGTGTCTAGCAGCTTGTGTAGCAACTGAATACGGTGAGGTTATCATAGTGTACAAACAAACGCGATGATGGCGGGTGAAGGTATGAAAGTCAGAAGGCAGCAAAAGAGCTGGATAACCTTTACAAAGATGTCTTAGTGATGTCAAGTGGAGACTACAACGACCTAACGTTAAAATGACAAACAAATATGACAAACAAAATGACAATATGACAAACAAAAAGAATTGCCATGCAATCGGACTGCATATGTGTGCATGGTGCTTAAACGCTACCGGGCGGGTATTCTACAGGACCTCCGTGTAGGTTATTTTTCTAGCTTCACGGGAAATTGTGAGCGACGAAAGTTGATTGGTATGCTTGCGTCTGACGGCAGAAGATGCATCCTAGGAATCAGAACGACTTTCCCCTTGCCGCAGCTAGTTGTAATGGTCGCCTCAATCAGGTTCGGGGAAAGGGATTTAATAATGAGGCGAGTCCCGTTGCACTGTTTAGGTGGGAGCAAATTCCTGATTAGCCTAATCGGAGCACCAACTTTGAGCCGAAGAATATGAGGCGGGAGTCCGGACGGCTAAAGGGAGTTCAAAACTTCTATGGGATACTCAGCTAATTCAGATGGATCGGAAGTTCTGTCGATGGACTTATAAACATGAAATTGCCCAGGAATGCAATCCAACAGTTTAAGGTTGATGAAATCAACTGTACAGTTCTTCGGTGCCAATATGGCCCCTCCGTGCAAGCCAATCGGCATCAGCAAAATTAGTGGATAGGTTGTAGAAGACTGCATTCATCAATTCATCCGGTGATTCAACAGTGGTGGCAAGCTGATCCATATGCACAAAAGCCTGTATGTCAGATGGCATTTTTCCCTCCCCAAGAAAAGAAGGTCCCGTGCGAAGTCAGCGGATCTGGAGTCCCCATTCAAGTAGGCACGCATGTTCGTGCTCATTATAAGAGTCTCCACGTGGCGCCAAAGAACAGACGACTTCAGGCAGGTGCGGACAGCGTCAGCACGTGTACCTTTAGGAATAACAGGTAGAGTCTGCCTAAAGTCGCCTGCGAGGAGAAGGGTTACTCCACCCATGGGGTCGGAGGAGTCGCGGATGTCTTGGAGACTTCGGTCAAGTACCTCAAGGGCGCCCTTGTGTGCCACTATGCGCTCATCCGAAACTATAAGTTTGCATCTCCGCAGAACTTCAGCCTGTGGCGAATTCTTTGTTATGTTGCAGAGAGGAGTTTGTGACCGGCATAGATCAAGCGGCAACCTAAAAGCCGAATGAGCAATCCTGGAGGATGCGACCGCAATAGCGATATCCCCACGACGCCGTACCTCTTCCAGGACTAATTTAGTAACAAAAGTTTTGCTAGTTCCTCCGGGCGCATCTAAAAAGTATATACCTCCACTGGAGCCGTTTGCCTTGTCTGCTATGGTAGTGAAAGCAACCCTCTGATCAGGTAGAAGTTTGTGCTCGTTTTCGGTATGTAAGCGTTCAGCTCCTCGGCAGAGTAGGATGTTTCCCGCAATAACTCAGTTGGTACAGTGTCAAAACCATCTCTGAGCGGTGGTGGTAAACCGTAAGTTGGTAAAGAGGCACCTCCCAGTTCGAAAACAACATCTTCTAGGGCCACCAGCGCTCTGTTGAATACCGCATTCAACTCCTGGGCTGTTACGCTGAACGAAGAACAGCACATCTTCTGACTTGGATTTTCTGTACTTTAGCCAGAGCAACAGAGGGTCGCTTAGTTCGCATCGCAAAAGCAAAATGGCGAACAGCGTTCGAAGCCGTAATGGCGTTCTGAGGAGTTCACCCTCCGCCATGGCTGCATCCCATTGGGAGTAGTCTTCAAGCAATCCCAAACGGAAGCCTGCCTCTCTATAAGACTGGCACTCTATGCCGTTGACAGTGCGAATATCTGTGAAACTAGTTGGCCCAGCAATTTCATGAATTAGAAGGCGGAGGTAAAAGAACTCCTGCTGGCTGGGGGGAACAGTATAAACGCGTCCAAGGCAAGAGTTAGACCTTACATCGACAGGGCCGCCAGCCTTTCGCCGAACCCACCGGTTGTTTGACCACACATAGAAGGACGGGACTTGGGGGTATAACAATGTTTTGGCAAAGCACCTGTTGAGCATAGTTTAAAGAAAGTCTTTAGGGTTGTGTCATTAGGATTTTCCTCAACCTGCTGGGCGTTTTGTTCGGTGAAGTACATTCTCTGTCCATTTTCTGAGTGAACAGCAAGCTGCACAATGGCTGAAGCCCTTTGGTGTATGGGGAATCCGAAAAATCGCCAAAATTCCTCGCTACTACCGGCCACCTCGTCAGCGCAATCGGCCACCTCGTCAGCGCAATTGTCACGCCGGATACCGAAAACGGCAGCATCGCTGCCTTTATTAACGTACTTGCAGATGTAGTTTATTGACTTAACCGAGTGGCAGTATTCAACGTTTATGTGGGCTCCAAATGTCTTGGACAGCAGCGGGCAATAAGGCACCACCCAACGATTTTTCAGAGTGTACCCCTTAACTGTCACAGTTCTGCCGCCCTCAGCGGGGCTTCTACGTCTGTACTGTGGGTAACCATCCGTCGCAGTCTGCGTTTCTGAAATAAACTTACGGAGGTAACCCTTTGCGCAACCAGGGGCCTTGTATTATATTGTTTTTAATGATTTCGTGGAGCAAAGTATCCAGCGCAGGATCTGGAATTTCAGCAGAAAGAAAATCGTCTATTTTGTTAGCGTCAATCTTATCGTTGAGCCACAGCAGAATGTGGGCATGAGGCAAACCGCCTTTCTGCTATTCCACTGTATACATATGACACTTAACGCCTCCGAAGACTTTCCCATTAAGGATTAAATACATAAGCTTACACAGCTGTAACCGGAAAACGCGGGCAATTAGGTCAGGGCGGTGTGAGTACTGCTGACCTGGAAAAAGTTCGCGTGTGATTTCAACCCATTTCGGATTGCACGTGAACGTGACGAACAAATCAGGCCTCCCGAAATGACGGACATAGGTCATTGCGTCTTATGTCCTTTTATGCATGTATCGAGGGCCACCAGTGTAAGAGGAAGGCAAAATGCACGGTTTGCCGAGATTTCGTGGGTCACCATCAGAACGCAGACCATCACGAAGGTGAATGTAGAAGTCGGTTCTAAGTTTGGATTAATGAATCCTAACCTGTCTGACTCCATTTTTGCAGCCATGTCAACAGCGAATTGAAGAAATAGTTGACGGCACCTGTGCAAGTGGTTAAATTCACCCTCCCTAACCATAAACATGTAGGCGTAGTAAGCCCTACAGGAGACCGTCTTTAAGACAATGAATCGCTGCTTGCCTGGTATATTGGGATTTTGAAGTGGTACCCATCGCTTCCGTATGGAAAAAGAAGGGGGTACTGGAAACAGTCGTATGAACGGTGGGTTTCACTGATGCGGCGCTGACCCACCTCCCCGGTACCTTATGACAATGTCACGGCTGTTATGCTCCTCACCGTGGATGACTGCGGCGACTTCATTACATGCAGGAGCATTGAAGCGACGCTCATGCTCACCGTGAAGCCGTCTGTCTGCATCGATGACAACGCTGAAAGAGGGCTAAGAGTTGTGTTGCAATGCAAACTTTAATCTTCGGATGTAACTGTTACTTTCGTGAAGCATGTCTTGTAGACGGAACAGAATGTCTCTACGGGGACCGACGGAAATATCGCTAGGCAGAATGCCGAGACGCGCATCAACCTTCTCGTTGTAGTCAGTGAGAAAGTAAATTTGTAGGAATTGAGGTGGCTCTCTCTGATCAACCAAAAGTGATCTCATTAAGTGGTAAACCTGGCCTTGCACTTTGAAAGTAGGCATCCATCCCCCCACACTAATAGCCTTCTCACCAAAAGACGTCATCTGGAAGAAACAGTTGTACTTCCGTATTGGTTCAAGAAAATGCGTTGACTCCAAAGTTGTACACAGAAGGAGGTCCCTAAGCGGCTGAGGAGGTTTGTCAAAAGAAGGGAGTTTGATTTTGCCCCCAGAGCAACAAAGTTGTTCACCGGCCAAACTTTTTGCGTTGCAAAAAGGGCAAACTTTATCCATGGCCCCTATTTCTACGTCTCTCCTAGCGGAATAGTAGACAGTGCAGTCATAATTGTATGTGGCATTTGACCAAAATGACGCAGACGGCGAAGTTACGCCATTCAAAGAAACTCGCAGTTGCTAATGTTTTCGAGCTGTTGACGGCGTACTTCAGAGTTTTCAGCAGTCCAGGCAGACGCAGTAGAGCGGGCATTTCTAACGCGACAAACAGTGGTGTGTGCAGGGCTTTCTAGGGCTCTAGCAGATGCAGTAGAGCGGGCATTTCTAACGCGACGAACAGTGGTCTGGGTAGGGTTTTCTAAGGATCTGGCAGACGCGGTGGAGCAGGCATTTCTAAAGCAACGATGAGCGGTTTCTTGGACGTTGTTCCGAAACTCTAGAGGCGGCTGTAGCCCTAGTATTCCTAAGACGACGTGAAGTTGTTTGTTCGGGGCTTTCTTAACCCCTGAAGCAAGCTTTGGCGGTGGCATCCCGCAAACGACGAAGGGTTTTATGCGCTGGGGACTGTGAAGCCCTCAACCTAGCCACGGGGACTGCGTCCTGTGAATTCTGAAGTGAACGTTCTTCAACTGAAAGCCTGGCGCGGCGTGAGGACATGGTTGAAGCCGCTGAAGCCAACCTTTCAGGCCGCGCAGCGGCGCTTTCCGTAAATAAGCGATCAGCTGAGCTCGAGGCCATCCGTTAAATACGCAAAGAAGTCTGTTCAGGGGGTTCTCTCACCCTCGCTGCTCTAGCAGCGGAGGCATCTGCCGTGCGCCGTCCCAAAAGTTTCCTGCTTTTAGGTGGCATCCAAACAGTAAAAACGTCACAGAGGGTAAAGCTTAAAAAGAGATTTCGACGAAAAAACGTGCTCTGCTAATGTAGGCATAAAAAGGTGAACACCCAGTAAAATGAGTTCGATCTAAAGGGGAACTCGAAACTAAAAAATTTAAACATTTGGAGATTTAAAAATGTAAACCAACGGTAATCCAAAAGGAAATGGGTTTTTAGTACAATTGGCTAACGTGTGTGGGGTTGGGTTGGAACAATAAAACAAAAAAAGCAGCTAGAACACGTAATCAACAACTTGGGGTGTCCGAAGTTGGCGAATAAAGTAAGCCAAGTGCGTGCACGCGGGCAGCAATTAACACAAAAGTGTGAAAGCACGCCCGAGTCACGCATTAGAGGTGGTTGACCTTGAGCGCACTTAGACATAAGGTGACGCGCGATCACGCAGGCGCTATAACCATGATTGGACACGCCCAAAAGTCAAGCTCTGTGAAAGCGACCAATGGGCTTGCAGCAGTCTCGGTATCGACACGCGGACTCGATTGTACGCAGCTGTGTGTGTGTAAGGAAGTTACAAAAAAAGATTGATCCGCGTGCAGCTACGGTTATTTTTGCCGAAAAAATCTGAAATTTCACACACATAAAGGCGATAGTAAGCCGCAAGGGTGTCGTAAATTTCATTTGAATCAAACCAAAACTGTACATACTGTGCCAGTGAATGTGTGTACAGAGGGCTAAATCCTGACCCTTAGTACCCCCGTTTATGGTTCCCTGGTCAAGCGGCTTTGACAGTCTTGCAAACAATTTGGTACTTGTTAGATAGCCAAGCGTTAATGCTATCAGAAACTGGACCATTTGCTTTGTTTTGGTAGCAAGGTAACAAAACATCTTCTAAAGACTGCGAAAAATCTGCATAAATGGCCCTTACCCGTACTTTCAAATTGATTTCGTGCAAAAACAATTGTGTTTTTCATTTTTTTTTCTGTCAGAACCACCGCCTTTTAATTTTACGTCGTTCTGTGAAGTTTTGTTGAAATCGGTTGAAAAATGTAGGAAATCCGATCCCATATATAAACGAACAGACACACACACAACCTGCGTTTTATAATAAATAAGATTAGACCTATGTGAGGAGTCATACACGTACCTAAATTTTGTTTAGATAATTTAAATTTCTCGTGTTCTTGGTAACGTTACGATCAATCTATTCTTCATCCTTCGCCAGGCAAAATATTTATTATGTCAGTCATTAGCAGCTGATAGGTGCCAAACTGATCGGCTGCCCAAATACTTTTTTTTTCTTTTAATTAGAATAGCATTTTCAATGTCAAAATTGTGTTCAGTTTCGTTACGTTTTGTGTGTTGCTTTTTTAAATGTCTTTATCATGCTCAAGCTTTAAAGGTTACGTTCGTTCTAAGGCTACATGAATGGTGTACACAGGTAGGATCCAACTCATTAGTCTGTTGTAACGGACAAACAGAATAACTCGTTAAATTTGACTTCATGCAGAATTGTTCAAATATTTAGCAAGATTAGCCTGTCAAAAAGACAAATGTATGCGATACCCAAGAAGTATTGAACTCACTACTCAGTAATAATAATTAATCAAAGTAATTAACATTTACCTCACACCAACTTACCAAAATAATTTTGCTTGAACATTTCCTGCCTTTTCAATTCATATTAGTACATTAGTAGATATCTAAATATCTAGAAATATTACTCTATCGAACTTAGGGTTAATTTGAAGGTCGATTTTGGTATAACTACGCATGTCGGCTTGGAAGTTCATAGGCTTACCAATATATAAATTAAAGTAAACTCATCAGTTGGGGCCACCTGGTGGCTCTACTTAAATTTAGATCTTGACCAGCCTATGAACTTTTTAATCGACCCTAATATTTATCAAACTCAGTTCTGATAAAAGGCATTTCAAGGCGTATTTTGATCAGACAATATCTATTTAATAACTCAGCCCTCATCAATATCATTTGAAGGCTTATTTTAATAGGGCAATTTAGTGCAACGTTAAAATAGCCACTGCGGAAAGTAATCTTATATTGGTACAGTTAGTATGGCGTTTGCCTTCTATCATAACTGTTCGGGTTTCAATTCTCGGTAGTGGCATGTGCACCGCTGAGGAGTCCCAAATGTAGGACAAAACGGATGCCCAGGACATTCTTTTGAGGTTTCTTCGAGACTCGATGAATTACGTAATTATGAATATTTAAAATCGTCCTTTTTTTTTTTTTTTTTTTTTTTTATTATTATTATTATTATTATTATTATTATATATATATATATATATATATATATATATATATATATATATATATATATATATATATATATATATATATATATATATATATATATATATATATATATAAGCAAATATAAATCCGACAGAATGAAGAAAATATCTGGATTTTGGATAAGACTTGTTTTTATGTCCATCGTTTTCGTCGAGTTATACTGGTTATGTTAATTGTATTTTTAAGGAATATTGTCCTGAAGAAGGTTAGTAAACCGAAACGTCAGACGTCGACATTTCATTCATATTAAAACAACATAATCGCATTTTAAGGATTTTTGTTTTGTTTTTCCAGATATTTTCTTCATATATATATATATATATATATATATATATATATATATATATATTAAAAAAAAAGAAAGCAGATTTTGAAAATTAAATAAAAACAAATACTAAGAGACAGAAACACATTACTGGATAACAAAAGGATCAAAGTTTATTATTTTCCGTTTACTTAACTTACGCACTCAAATGAGCATCATGTGTTGTGCTACAATCATAGAAACGGTATTTCGCTTCTTGCCATACACGAATCAATTCATCTGTGGATATTGACTTCACAGGTTCAGCAAATAGATTTGTCAAATCTTCAACATTAGCAGGCATAGATGGAACAAAGCGCGCTGGAATGAATATATTGGAGAACTCTTTCACGACGAAAGAGAACAACAGGCAATGCACAGAACTACTGATGGGCCTGAAATTCTAAAAACAGAATTAAAAGCTTCACTAGCCAAATAGAACAGAAACATGGCGACAGGGTCAGAAGGAATTGTAACAGGAATGCTGACAGCCTTAGTGTTATGGTCCGATTCCTTGTACCACGGTGATAGTCCAAGGTAGAACCCATAAAGAGGAACTCGAACACAGGTATGGAATAACACAGATATATTACAAACAGGAATAAATTAGAAGTAGAAGTGTTAGTATGAATAATCAGGTTTAGTAGAGAGAACAATGTAGTCTCGACCAGTATCACTATTCCAATGTCTTGCAGTAATTGTCTGAACGCGACTGTTTCGGACTGCCTCTGACTCGACTCTTCACTCGACTCGAACTAACGACTCCACTCTTTGCCAACTCCTGAGGTGCAGTATTTAGTAAGTATGGAATAGTCCATTATTATTATTATGGGTAAGATCCCATAACACTTAGATGATTTTGGCATAGACAAGATTACGGAAATAATAAACTAAATCTACAACAGTGGGGGTATACCGGAAGATCTAAGCGGATCTACTTTCATAGCACTGCCTAAGAAACCAGGCGCAAACGAATGTGAACTCCACAAAAAAAATCAGCCTCATGAGCCACCTAACAAAACTCATCATCCACATTCTGATGAATAGAGCGCGCAGCAGAAACAACCCAGAGATAGGACAAGAACAGTGCGGGTTCGTTAAAGACATCGGAACAAGGAATGCAATATTCATGATCAGAATGTTATCAGAAAAGAGCAATACAAATGTAGAAGGATGTGCACTTGTGTTTTATAGACTTCGCAAAGGCATTCGAAATGTACGCCACAAAGATCTATTGGAACTGCTCAGCAACCTTGATATATTTGGGAAAGATATTAGAATAATCAAAAATCTCTACTGACAGCAAACCGCCTGCATGAAGATAAAAAAAAGTTGTTCAGAAAATGCGCAAAAATAGAAATGGGGCGTAAGGCAAGAATGTGTCTTCTCACCGGAATTATTCAACTTATACAGCGAGGTAATTCTGAGATACTGAAATCCTACCACGACTCATCATTAGTGGCCACAATCTTAACAACATAAAATCCGTAGATGTCACAGTGCTGATAGCAGACACGGAAAAGAAACTAGAAAACCTCATACAGAATACTAGCGAAGGAAGACGAAAAGAAAGGACTAATCATTAACTACAAGAAGACAGAATGCATGATCAGGTTGAGCCCGAAATGCGGATCGAGCACACTAATCTCAAGCATGTTCGGAAATTTAAATATCTGAGAAGTGTTCTGACAGAGGGCGGAAAGTGAGATTCGTAGATTTATTGGGATGGCCAAAGACGCGTTCCAAAAGCTAGCCAGAGTATTACGAGACAGGAGGTTTTTTTTTGGTAATAAAGAAAATAGTACTGAACGACTACGTGATATATGTCCTCCTTTACGATTGCGAATGTAGGGCAATCTCCTCAAAGATGAAGAAGAGACTCGAGACAACAGAGATGCTAAGGATACCATAGACCGAACATGTGAGCAACTATGAGGTTTTGGAGAGGAAAAATTTATACGGGGATCCATTTTGCTATCTAAATTCATTGTAAATTAACCCCCAGAGCAAACCAAAAGTAAATATGCAGATAAAACGTAATTCATGATCTGGTGATCTTAATCGATTGTAATACATGAAATACAAAACAATCCTGATAACGAATTTAATTATTTTAGTTTTTACATTTTAAGAAATAATTTAGAATGGGCATATTATGTTTGGGTTTCCGTTAGGAATCAATTAGCACTGAATTTCCATAGCAAAATGTACCAAAATGAATATGCGTGACCTCCAATTCTTAATCTACAGTAAAATGGCAAACAAATGGAGAAAAAATTATTATTTTCTG